TGATAAAAATATCAATTGAACAATTCGAGAAATTGTAAATAGGGACCCCACGTCAACAATTTTTTCAAAATGTTGAACTTATTTGCTCAAAAGAGGATCTTCTTTTTCTTATTCTTATTTTTATTGCATGAAAACATTATTCAACAAGGGGTCTAAAACATCTTCAAAAGTAGAATGGTATTGAAAGTCTAGTTTTGAAGATATCAATCGTCGATGACCAAAATCATGCTGAAAACAATGGATAGCATGATTTTTCCCTAATATAAGGGAAAATAACATGGGAAATGTGGTTTTTAACTTTATCGCATTTCAATACCCATGCCCTTTATAGTTGAGAAGAAACTTTTGATACGTTTAAATTGAGAAAAACAGATCCTCTTTTTTAGAAAATAAGCCTTTCATTTTTAAAAAAAGTGACAAACTGGGGTCCTAATTCATAATTTTTCGGAGAGTTGGATTGGTATTTTACTATCATGGGGACTTCGCTTTAAAGAAAACAAAAGAAAGTCTTTGGGGGTAGACGCAGTACTGACAGTAATGACATTTAATGTTTGATGAAAACCCTTTTTAATAAATCCATATGGAAATACAATTTTGAGTAAATAATGACCAGAATGGAAATAACCAATATTATACCATATTTAAATGGGTCGTAGAATTGAAACCTTCTTGGATCTTAATTCTTTCAACGGAAAATACTGAAGATTTTAACATTTTATTGGCACTAAAGACTGACAAAGCTGGTCCTGATTCTATTTAAGTAACTAGGAAACAGCCACTCCACGGAGTAGTAAATCCCACCGAACAAAACATGTTTTGATAAATAGCCCCCATCTTGAAAAAAATTGCTTGAACAGAACTCCTCTTTCCTTAGGAATCAGCTTTGAGTCAAACCAGTCCGCTGGTATTTGAAGATTATGTTTTTCTGAAAATGGAAGCCATTTTAAAATTCAATGGCCTCTTGAAAAATGTCTTCTGGAGCAGTGCTCTGTTGTCTGAAAATGACAGCCATTTTGAAATTCAATGGCCTCTTGAAAAATGTCTTCTCGAGCAGTTCTCCGTTGTCTCTAGGTATCAGCATATCGCGCATACAATTTTAACCAAACCAACTGGTATTTGGGTTATCAACGATAGCATTATTTTACAAAGAATGGTGGCCATCTTGCAATTTAGCTAAAATCTTGAAAATGTTTTCGTTATGAAAAATGGCAGCCATTTTGAAATTTATCGACCCTCTTGAAAATCTCTTCTTTATCATAGCTCCTTTGTCCCTAGGTATCAACATATACACTTCGGACTAAATCCATCAACTGAGTGGCCATTTTGAAAATTCCTTCTAAGCTAAATTGTCCTATGCTCGAAAGGCAGAAGCCTGTAAAATTTGAATCAAATTTGTCAACCAGTATTTGAGTTATCGCCAAAACACATGGACAGTGGGATATGAAGATGAATGAACATTCTGACAGTTTTCCTGTATCCTCGTTTTGATGGGATAATAAAATGCTTAAGCAAGAAGCCATCTCACTAGCTTATGTACTTTTGAGACTTTTTAATAAGATAAAATTAAGCGTGACAGTTGTACGCACAGGGTAAGGTACATCAAGAGGATGATGCAATTTGAGCAAACTGATGTTTTCATCGTTTCAGAAAGATATTTTAGATGTGAATGTCTGTAACAACATCCAGTGAACAGACAGTGAACTTGACCGTGAATTTCATAATTAAACCTAAATAAATTCCAAATGTAGTATAGGGTATAACGCACGGGTACATTTACCTGAGATACTGTTTAGCGCAAATTCACATTCTTTGTGTTGTACCTTACCGTTACGGCATGTCATACCATATACTACATTAGGAGTTTGTGTAGGTTTAATCATTATGAAATTCACCTGTCAACTGCAGGAGTTCCGCATGGATCTATCTTATGACCCATTTTGTTCTTTTTATACAGGGTGACACAAAACATGTCACTCACTAATTTTGGAATAACTTTTTCAACAATTAATGAATCTTCATATATGTTAGGTGTAGACAGAGTCAGAGTTGGTGTTCAATAGAAAAAGATTTCTATGCTTGCATAGCATCAACAACTTGGAAATTTTCCAATTTTCCGTGTAGGTGTGCTCTGACACAAAATCACTCAAAACTGTTAGAATTAAAAATCTGTTTTCCTTAAAATTTACCCAATAAGCGAGTCAGTTTATCAAATTTAACAGAAGATTTAAGAAAAATGGGTTAATATGTCATACTTTTGATAATACATGTGTAAAGTAGTGAAAGCAATCCAGAAAGGACCATATGCACTCTTCATTGGGATCTCCCCATGAGAAAAAAATAATTCGTCTGATTTTTCAAAATGAGTATTCTGCTTTATAATTATCACATTTATATGCACACTAGTATCTTGTTGACCTATATTCAGCACTGTTTTGATGTATAGGCCACTTATTAGGGTCATAATTCAATCATGAAGTGTAGAGGCATAGATTCAAAACCAAGTATTTTTGTGTCTGTCAAAATCCATTTGCATCCTACTCATCCCTACATCTTATCCAAATATGTTACTACATAATGAAATATAATGGTATATTCTTTGGTTTTGCATTTGGTTTTGTTGATGGTTTTACAAAGTTGTACGATTTTTGATAAGTGTAAAAGTTGTTTTTGGAGCATTTTTCTATAGCCATTTTGTAAGGAAAAAATAATGAAAAAATGTACAATCTTTTAATTTTAAGTATGACCTGAATCGATTGCAACCTTCATATTTGCACATTTGATGAGATAAACAATTTGTGTCATATTGTGAAATTATTATTATCACAAAAATACCCAAAAATACACTATGACCAATGGAAACCAATGGCCTCTATTGGGATCTGCTGATATCCTCATGTTGAAGGCTGAATAAATAGTGCAGAGACGTATCCAACGATCATGGTCCCAGTGTCAAAATATATCAAATTTTGGATATTTCATCAAGGCTAACATCTATTTTCATTAGCTACAAACAAAACCCCCGAACGTAACTAATTTCTGCTGATATTCACAATCACTGCCATCCTAAATCCCCGGGAATCTGCTCCCAACATCGACAGAAAAAATCCTCACGTACCTTTTAATGATTTCCCCGGTCATATTGTGATTGGATTCCAGCCCCGTTTTCACCTAAGGTTCTATCCAACATTCTGTTTCCTATATACCATGCGTGTGTCAAGAAGATCTTGATATGGGCAGATTTGAGGTGTTTTAGTCTTCGATTTTTTTTATTTTTCTTCGTCAGTGGACCAGGCTAACTGCAAGAGTCGCCGGTAATAGACCGTCAATGGCAGTCATATTCTGTACATGATGCATAAGGTTATATCAGACAACCGCGGTTATACTGTAAACATGCTTACATTGCGGTCTTACCTAATCTCAGCTGCAGTTAGAATTTTAAATGACGGACATTCAGAAATGTTTCAAAAAACAAAATGCGGGACGTCCAACCTTTCAATTGCTTATTTAGAAGTCTATTTGCAAGTCTGCATGGTGGTATTCGTCGACAAGTGCATACATTTTAAGAAAATAGGTATGGCGAAGAAGACATTAGGCCATACGTTGCACTAATAGCTCGGGAAAGGTAAAATGATTCCCAAATTTCTTCTATGTTCTTTATTGAACCTTTAAGTCAATGATGCACAGCCCCATGTAAGTCAATACAACCTATTGCCATTGTGTGCCAAAGCACTTTAATACTTTTCAAAGAATTTTATGACATTCTATTCTTCATGCTACACTAAAAATGATTCATTTTGACCATAGGGGTATTTGCCAAAAACGCACCTCTTCCTTTAAGTAAATTGTATTTTTGAACATTTTTGATGATTTCACTGAGAGCATACCAGGACAGAAAACATGATAATTCTAAATCATTTTTAATTTTTAATTTTAAATCATTCCATTGAACACTTTATCTATACAAAAAGCCCATAGATTCCTTAATTATTCAGAAAGTTATTCCAAAATTAGTGGGTGGTATTTTTGTGTTATCCTGTACATTAATGACATTGCTGATGAAGAGAGGAGGGAAACCCGAGGAGGGAAAGAGGAGGAAAACCCCTGGAGCTTTAGCAATAACAGACATATTATGTCTCTTGTGTACCACCTTTGTTTGCGCAAATTCTCACCAGTTGATGTTTTAATCAATGTAAGCATATTCCTTACATCTTTCTTCACCATGATGTGAAATAACAAGCTACGATATCGGTTAACATGCCAGAATTTATATTGTTTTATTGTTTATTGTTCCATTCAAATTATTTATAAAACATATTATTACAATTTGACGCAGAGCGTATATTGTGTGTAAGATAATTAATTGGTGAAGTATTGGAACATAACAAGTAATAATATTATTCAATAATAATATTAATGTTTGTTGATTTGGACAAATCAGATCTAGGTCACCTCAATGCAGATTTACATTATAGAAGTGGTCATCTTTGAACCCCCTCTTTCCATGAATAAGCTAGTAACAAATGTTTCTTTTTAGCAGAAGACTTATATTTTGCCCCTATAACCCCACTTATTCCATCCATAACCTGGAAATTTTACAATCAGATTAGAGTGCTATATAATATAAAACGGTCAGAAAGATGGGAAATGAACTGCATACCAAGTATATCATGTACAGTTTGCGCCAAGAGTTTGCGGATGTTTTCCAAACATCAATTGTGTTGTATTGCTATGTAATACTCATAGCCTCTTTCTGTTTCACCTTAGGGCTGAGAAGGTTTGAGATGTCATGGTTTATCATGGTGGATATAATACTCAATAACTAAAAATAGAGGTGTGGATATTTTTCTTCTTATACTTAAAGTTTCTTGTAAATTGAAACTCTGACTTGAAATGATAAAATGTGCCGACTCAGCACTTTTGAGCCTGATTCAGAACCTGTCACATATCAATTTTTCATGTCTAGAGTTTTTTTGGTAAATTCCAGGCTGGCTTAATCTAGTAAATCAAATACATTTCATGTCTTAATACTCCATACATGATATAACTCTAATCTTAAGTGCTACTTGACTTAAATTGCCAATTACGTTGAAAATTTATATTTTGGAAAATGGGGTAGGGGTAGCTTAGTATTAGCCAATATAACATGAGATTGGTTAAAAGAAGCATTGTAACTACGTACTTCATCCATCAAATTCAATGATTATAATCCGTTTGAAGTTTAAATTAATAATCCTGCTTGATAACACACATTTTTTTTATAAAAAATATAAATGAAAGCCCATGATTTGAACAATGAAAAATGGGGCACTTTATTAAGACAATTATATTGACCTAACATCCTTCCATTTTGGCCAATAGGGTTTATTGTGCCAGAAATGTCATCCTTATTCTCCATATCATATGTGGTGGCAGATTTAGATATAAGATGATAATCATTGCTACATCTAAACAATATCATGTTTGCAACTTAAAATCATGAAAAAGTTGAAAAATACTCCAAAATAGCGAAAAAATGGGAAAAGTAAAAAGCACATCAAATCTTGAATTCTCAAAATCCCTGTTATTTTATTGCAGATTATGAAGGCCCTATTAAATGCTCCCCTTTCCAACAGTAATACTCACTGTACATGGGACATCTGGCTTTTCTGGCAAATTGGATCCAAAGATGGTTGCCACTTCGTCTCTATATTGACCCTCATGTTTACAACTAAAATCACGAAAACCTTGAAGAAATGGCCGAAAACATCGAAAAAAAGTTAAAAGTAAAATGCTTGTAAAATCTTGAAAACCCAAAATCCCAGTTATTTTATTGCAGATTATGAAAGCTCTAATACTCCTCTTTCCAACAGTAATACCCACTCTACATGGGACATCTGGCTTATTAAACAAACTGGGTCCAAAGATGGCTGCCATTTCGTCTCTTAATTGACCCATGTTCCAGAAAAGGCTCCGTAACCATGGCAACCATTATGACGTCATAATAAACAATACATATGAACTCTTCAACATGTCCCATATACAAATCAAATAGTTATTAACTGGTTTTGGATTATCTTCTTAGCATACCATAAGCTGGAAATATGTATTTTTTCACCAATTTTTGTGCATTTTCTAGGTCGTAAACAGACAACAAACATGGGTTGCTTAGCAACCATGTCACACACTAACCAATCATCTGTTAGGAGAATAAATTATATATTTTGGCTTCCCAATGGTCATACTTTCATATAAGAATAAAATTTTTGAAATATAAAATTTGACATGTGCCACCCTCCAATGGTGTCCTGCCCCCTTTTTACAAATAGTGCCTCTTAAAAGTATACATATACGATATCAGAGTTATTCGCCTTAAATATTTTGAGATATAGAGGCAAATGTGGAGGACAAAGGGTTTCCATATGTGTATATTTTTCTCAAAAAAACGTCACGTTTTGTGGTGTTAAGAAGCGAAAATGTGTAACAATGCGTGCGCGACCTTTTTACGACACGTCTAAGCAAGTGAGGATATAGTCCTGAGTAAGGACACTAGCGGTTACCGTTAGTGATTTGGTTTTCTGTATAAAAAGTCATTTTTCTCCTTTCCTACCCCATTGGAGCGCCATTTGGCGTTTGGGAAGTGAATTGGGACTAAATATTTATAAGGTAGGTCCTGATTTATCTGAAAACATGCCAAAGTTCAGTGGGAAATCTCATTTTAAGCTGGCGGCGGAGTGATTTTGACCTTGGTGATTTTACCAGAATTCTCTGAGAAATCTGACGATAGAGGGGGTTAGTGTCTTCAAGTTTATTTATCTCAAAAATTCGGTGGACAACCCATGGTAAGATTGTTATAGCAGTCTAGGCGAGTCTCTCCCGAACACTGTGGTATGTTGCACTAGGCTTGGATACTAATCGTTAATAAGATACAGGGTAAAATGTTATAATGGCCACCTATGGGAAACTCTACTGTGGTCTTCAACCTGATTGCCTTTGTGCACACAGAATATATTTTCCAGATTGAATAAATCAGTTCAAATAGCTGTACATCGACATACTTTGTAAAGTTCTCCACCGAATGGGATATGCTATTATGACTGAAGCAGACACAAATAGGTGTATGTAGCTTATAAAAAAACGCTATATCAGACGTTCGTAAACCCGGCAATTTTGTGTCGATACCGCATTGCAGCCTCGTTTTGGACAGATGCACATGGCTGGAACGCGTTACCTCTGTCAATCGTGAATAGTAGGTATTGTCATGGTGACACGGGTTCTCATACTGATTTCGGTATTCAAGAGGTTAAAATTCAATGTCATCTAGTAAGTAATATACAAAGCCTCAATTTTCCAGGGTATATTTTATTGATTGCATACAGAAGGGGTCTAATTGCAAGATCTCTGATACAATGACCAGGCTGAATTAGATTACGTGTGCTCTATGAATTCTGTGATACTCGTTTGCTTTGTATGCATCTAATTTTTGCGTTTGCTTAGTCACTGTTCCACAACTAGTTACTTTGACGGAACGTCAATGTAACAAAATGGATGAACTTCCTGGATACATGCTTTTTGTTTTCTCGATTTAAACCTACTTATAAGTCAAGTTGCGGATTATCCTTTCTGTTTTACAAGAGCATAATTAGTTATTTTGATATTTTATTTCTTGCGCTCGAGTGGTTTTTATTGACGAGCAATCACTGTATTTTTATTAGATCGGAGGTTTCTTTTAAGGAAAGACTTCACGTCACAAATCTCGTGGTGCGATGGCTTATTTTTGAATCATTTTCGGGGATCCTGGTGTTTATATCCTTATAACTGGTTATTTCAAAGGTCCATTTTCTATCGGTATGTTCCTCGGATGATGATGCTACCATCAATTAATCGTCCATTAATTCTTTGAGGTGCATTCCAAAACGTTACTTTCAAGTTTCAACTATGGATCTTCTATCAAAGTCTGTTTATGTTTTGATATATATATTTTCCAAACTATTGTAATTGTGGACATTGTAAGACATTGTCAGGTTACGATATGCTATCCAATAAACACTTCCGGTTACCAAACTTATGGTGAGTGATAGAGCAGTATATATACTTATAGCTCAGTGGTAGAGCAATCGCCTTATAAGCGAGGGGTCGTGGGTTCGATCCCCACCGGGGTGGACTGACTTTTTCACATCAGCCCTTAGCGCAGGATTTCATTCTGTGTTTTCAAACTAATACGGAATGTGCCTACTCTAACCGTGTCTCGTGTTTTGAGTTTAAATTCTTACAATTATGATTTAAGACTGAACAAACTCTGATACAATACGTTTAAAATGGATTGGAGAGGCCTAAGTAAAGGAGTGGTATCGATATGGAGAAGTGAATTCAATAATGTTTTTCTCTTAAACCAATCATTGAAAACATTATTTTTAAAAAAACACGGTAATTTTTTAAACATTTTTTAGTGCAATTTCTACCAATTCTTGAGAATGAAATAAAATGTCTTTCCAAACCTTGTTGGAACAAAATAGCATATACAACATGTTTTTGTTTGTTTGTTTGTTTGTATCTTTATTTCCTCCAATTCTGAAGAGTACAATTTCTTATTAAATAAAATAAATTAGCAAAAAGTTATATACATTATATACATATAAGGAACATAATCAGTAATCACATCACATCCAGAGCACCCCCTATTAAACGGCCGGACGCCAGGCTACCGCGTTGACCCGTAACCGCAACAGGCCCAATGCTCTGGAGTTATTTTGACTATTTGAGATACGCAAATTACACTCTGCTTTCACATGTATACATTTTATGAACATTCTTCGCAATTAATATGTACTGATCAGGTGCCAATTGTTCATTTTCACCAAATATTAGTCTTAGAATTTGCTCATTACTTTGATTCAATATCAGCGAGTGATTTTTAACTATATCTAGAATGATTTTTCGTTCGGCTGAGAAATATTTACATTTTAACATGAAATGTTCCAAGGTCTCATCCTCTTCACCACAAGCTTTACATAGTCGCTCGTTATGCCTGTCTTTCATGTCGCCCCATTTGCCTTTGATAGCACATAGATTACTCCCTCCAGTTAGTAGGATCATCATTGTCTTACATATGCGAATATATTGGCATTCGCGAAATGCAATTTTCCACCACACGATTGGTGTGCCATGCGTATTACAGGGTGTCAAATAAGTCTGTTCTCCCCCCTTAACTTTTTTATCTTTAAATTGATCATACTTTCCCATATATCATTTTGAAGCTCATTGAAAATGCTGATCACCCTCAAAAAATCAATCATAAACCCTTCCTAATAAAATTGCTACAATGTTTCTTGTAAGGTTGTAGTTGACCTTTGATTACGTCAAAACAAGTAAAATTACCAGATAATAGTGAATGAAAAGTGAAAAGTTGATACTGCAGTGACAATGCCAACATTGGGTGATTTCGATGTTTCTCAATATCGTTACAGAGTAAAATTTGTTACATTCAGGGAAGCCTTTGAAGCAGGGGAATCTTTCATCACAAAATAGTTGATAACACATAAAATCAAACGTTCTGAATGATTTATACGGGATCTTATGCTCGTAGAATTGAGGCCATCCGGGCTGCTGGGGGAGACATGCAGACTATTAAAAAAGTGAAATATGGACATTACTAAAAATACTCTAATTTGGAATTTAACCAATCACTCTGAGATTTGGTGTATGATCAGCAAATTAAATTCCCTTTAAGATGATATATACCAACCCTATGTTATCTCTGAATTAAAAAAGTTAAGGGGGGAGAACAGACTTATTTGACGCCCTGTACATTCCTATATAGGGAAGCGTTGTGATTGACCATGCACTGTATTTTCCACTGCCACATTGCATATTCTCTTGTATTATCTGACACCATCTTCTTCCATTCGCATTTACTTGGTACCATTCCTGTATCTATCATATCATATATTTTGTGCTGAATGCCTAGACGTTCAGCTACTCTCATGCAATCACCAATAGGGGACACTAAAGCTAGATCACGTGTTCTATACGTTATGATTCT